TCCATATCTTGATAAAACCTTTCCATAAACTTTGCCTAGGACAGTGTGAATGCCAATATCTATATGGTGTATACAAGTATTTTATACAAATCCCACAGTCATATATATTTTTGTATTTGGTAGTTCAGTTGAGCACCAAAATGAGGCTCACCATGGGCACATTCATTGACCTTTAGTGTGCGCATGCTAGGTTTGTTTAGTTTGTGCATATTCTCATTTGTTAAATCATGTATTTTAATGATCAGCGCAATTTTTATTTATTCCCAGTGCAGCTGAGCAACCGCTGATTATCGATCATTGAAATAAGTGGCTAGAAAAATACTAAAAGTCTAGAAAAGTGGAGCAGACTAAGTGACAACAATGTGGGGATAAGAAGATGAGGTTTGTGTGAGCTTCAGCATGTCATGAGACACTTTATGAAGCAACATATTGGATATTAAATCTTCTAGATCTATAATTCATCATTAATGTTACGATGTATATTCATGTTATCTTAATATATTCTTCATTTTACATATTTATACTGTTTAATCAGTATTGTTCTGGTAAATCTTCCACTATATTAATCTTGACTTAAGTTTTTGCTAGGGTTTGCTAGTTTCATAAAAAGAAAGGATGTTAGTTTGATCCTCAGTCAAAGTATTCTTGGGACAAATACTGACCCTGAGTTTCCCTGTTACATTCATCTGAACGTAAGCGTGTCTGAATAGTAGACAAGACACTTAAATATAGAAAATACTACTTGTGTGAATGTGTGTGTGATTGGGCAAATGAGTTTATGAGTGAAAAACACTTTGAGTGCTCAGTTATAGTAGAAAAGTAAGCAGCAGTCCATTAACGACATAAATCCTGTCCTATAGATGTGCATTAAGTGTTACTGTGAAAATTATAATTTGAAACAGTGCGTAGACTTATTTGGAGGGTAAAACTGCTCACATTTTTAAAAAGTAAGACTAAAGTATATTTTTAATAAAACTAAAGAGAAGAATATATCTAATTGCCTGTAAGTTACATAACGTGTATAGTTAATGAAAAGTCTTAGTTACTGATCCTGCTCCACAATACAGCAGGAAGTCACAGGGAGAGATGTTTTTTGGCAGCCGGCACTTTTTCACAGGGTTTCCAGTCAAACGGATAGACATTGTGACAGGCCAGTCAATAGAAGTCAGCAGTGATTATGCAAGTTGCTTATGCCTAATGAGAAAGGTCAGCATTGCCAAGAGAGTGGGACACATGCCCAGTCCCACACTGAGATGTACGGCACACAGTGTTGTAGAATATCGCGATGCACAGATGCATAGTCCTCCTCCTCCTCCTCCTCCATATTTCTCATAAATCTGTCCTGCAGGAAACTGAAATGTTTTGTTTTCAAAACACCCAAATAATTCCAGCCCATACATATTTAAATTTTTATTCCAAACCTGTACAAAACCCTAATATTTGGTTTCATAGCTAAGTGATTTTATATCTCTGTAAAAATCTTATAGATGTGTTGCTGCACTTGCAAAATAAAACAGTTCAGCTTAGAAGCGGAAGGTCCACAGGACATCATCAATAATCTTGATGTAAAGGAGAACTACACTAGTTGCTTTGCAATTCTTGGTCCATTTGCTTTTGGCTGAAAGATTTTTCTTGTACCTGCAAACTGGTGGCCAGTCATATGTGCAATGTTACATCCATGCATCAGTCCATATCCATATATATGTCAGAGTGTGGAGTCAGACAGTCAGACATTCAGGGATTCTTCCTTTAGAGATGCCATTTCTACTAGTGTCATGCCTTTACAGCAAAAGAAAGTGCTAGTACCTTTTGGAGGATCCATCTATCCTTCTATTCATTTTCTTATGCTTATCCAAATCAGAGTAGGGTAATCAGGATAGGCAGGAGCCTATGCCAGTTCTCATAACGTTATGGGTCACCAATCTGTTGGAGGGCTAACACATACAGACAGATAACCATTCACACTCATATTCACACCTACAGCAAATTTAGAATCACCAATTAACCTAAAATACATGTCTTTGGACTGTGGGAGGACGGTGGGGTAGTGGCAGAAAGCCTATGCATAAAGGGGGAGAAATCCATCCTGGATTCACCCGTTTGAACAATAGGTAACAGAATTTTCTGACAATTATTTTGTCTTGCTCTGAGGTGTCACTTTTAATACCAGGAAAATCAACATAAACCTTAAATGGGAAACAGAAACCAGTAGGGGAAGGCATGGTTACGATGCCAATTTTTCTATATACAGTGGGCTGTAAGAATATTACATCCCCACAGGATTGCATTTTTTAATCCTATTTTTCCATCTTCAACAGTAGCCACTAACAGCTCACTCACACTACAGTAAGAGTAGGATGGCAACTTTCTTTGAATATTTGCTGCTGTAGACCGTTAGGAAGTAATTGTGGTAATGAACTGTCCACTCAGCGTTTGAGGGTGCAGCAACCACAACCTGTCTCAAAACAATCAAAGTCAGACAGATTGGCATTCAATTGCCTTCTAATTTATGAACTCAGACATATTGCAAACACTCTGCAATCAGTTTGAGTCTAAGTCTGCATTGACATATCTGCAGTGTTCTGGAAGGTTGCCTACTGGTTGAATTCTGATTATATTCCTATATAAAAGGCAAGGTTGCTGAGCATCTATGTTGTTTTCCAATTATATTACCATCCTGCATCAACTATGTCGGTGTTGGAGCACAAATCTGTGAGTTTCTGGCTGGAATCTGAATGTAAATAGTCAGTTGTGTTTCTGTTTATGTCGACATATGCAGTTTGCAGACCGAAATGCAAACGTCACTGGTAGAATTCTTAAACCAATAAATTTATTTTTATCGAGGTGAAGCAAATAATCCAAAATAAAGCAATTACTAAATATACTCCAAATCCACTGCACACACACACACACACACACACACACACACACAGTGAATGGGTAACAGATAACATAGGATGACTCAACAAGGAACTAAGGCAAACTGAGGATTTAAATACACACATAAGGTCATCAGGGGAGAGGGGAAACACAGGGGTAACAAGACACAGCAGAAACTAATATGTCTAAAGGGAAGTGTGTAACAGAGACACAGACTTAACAAGGGGAAAGAACACTCAGGAGACCAGATGAAAGTAAAATACAAGGAATCAGATATATAGTATTCGAAAATCAGGTCACAAATGTAACAAGAACAAATTAACGACAGAGTCAGGCAGTTAAACAGAAACAAGAAGCCATAAGAAAGAGTTGTGAGTGGCTTAGGAGGTAGAGTGGTTCATCTACCAACTGGAAGGTTGGTAGGATGATTCCTTGGGTTTCTCTTTCTTTGGGTGCTTAGTGAGAGAAGAAAAGAATATACCCCTTACACCCACGACATGCTGACTAAATTACAGAATGAAAGAAAACCTCAACTGCAGACTAAGAAGTCTTAACAGAAAATTCAAAACAACCCAACCAGACCCACAGACCAGGACAGTTTAATATAAACTTCTTGAATTTGTGATTATACGAATCCGTGCTTTTTGCCACTTTATCGTGGTTGAATGCTACATTATAGCATGTATTAGCAGACTTGACTCCATTCAATTTTAAACTGATAGCAGACTGACATTGTCTTATTGCCATTTTATCGCCATCTTGATGCACCAAAGTTGCGTTGAAGACAGCGACTGACTGCTAGTGGGGGCAGACCTGGTCTGCATCTTCGAAGCATCCATTTCAAAGACAACGAGATAGTGAGTTCATTGCACGGGGTCACAGTGATTTTGGTCCTGCTGCAGTGTGCAAACACTGTTTTCCATGGTGTTACTGTAACATCTGGGAAATATTGCCTTGCTCAAAAGCATCACTTCTTTTGACAGGATATTAATACATTTTATTAACTGTCATGTAGCTTTCTTTATTCAGTAATGCTGAGCATAAAGGCTTACTCTTTTAGATGCACTTCATAGCAAGACCAGATTCAAGATCGATTTCAATCAGTCAACTTTTATACTTATCTTTTATCGCCTGCACATTTGGATATCGCCAAGCAACTATTATTGTTATCCCCCCCCCTCAAACATCTAAACATCTATACCCCACCCCACCACCCCTCAGTTTCAGCTAGCTGACAGAACAGCATCCTCTCTACACTTTATCTCCCTCGCTCATTGCTTTGATGTGTTGTGATTGCGTTGGTGTGGCAGTGGTGTGCTGGGTGGGAGGGGTCGGGGATTGGATGGGTTGTGGGGTTTGGGGGGGGTGGCAGCGTTCTGCAGTGAGAATGTGCTCCCACTGAAGCGTAGAGAGACTGCAGCAGAGTGAACGAGCCTGTGCACCACCTGCAGTCGTGTGTGTATGTGTGTGTGTACATATGAGAAAAGGGGGAGAGAAAAGGGAAATAATCACCCAAGACACAATGATTCAACACCCTTCTCCTCTCCTGTTCTCTCATCCTCCATCCTTTCTTCCTCCTCTCCTCCCTCCTTAGCTCCCTTCGACCCAGTTCTGCACACACACATGCATACACACACAAAACAATCATCACCCTGTGCCAGCTTTGTATCAGCCTAGCACCGTGACGGCTGCCGCGTGTCCCTTCATGTGTGTGTGTTTGTATATGCTGCGCACTCTCTGCTTTCCCTTTTTTTATGTCATTCTCTTCCTTCCCCCGATGCCTCCCGTCCATCCATTTTGACTCCTGTGTTCACTCTCACGGTCCTTCCTGTCACTCCTCCACCTCTCGTAGCTATCACTAGTTGATGCGCACTTTCGTTCATACACGCGCACATTACCGCCTTCTCGGTCTCCTCGCTGACTCTGGCGTCACCCCCGAAATATAAACACTGAATGAACACACTCAACAGAAAGCCTCTGTCTTATCGTTTTTTTTCCCTTTCTCTTCCCAGTCGTTTCTCCCTTTCTTCCTCCCCTCCTCACCTCCACCTCCTCCTCTTCCTCTTCACTCTTTTGCTCCCCTCCTCCCGCTCTGACTGAGTAAGTGCTGCAGCATCGATGTATGTGTGAGAGAGCAGCACAGACCGAGAGAGGTGGACAAGTGTGTGTAAGCGGAGTGTGAGTGCGAACCACCGGGGGATCCTGAGCCTGGAGGGGAGCCTTGTAATGAGAGAGGGGGGCTCTTCTGCCCGTGGATGTATGCACCACCAGGACAGTGTTATTTGCAGGCGAGCGTATGTGTGCGCGTGTGAGAGACAAGTGAATGTGGGCATGCCAGCAGCAGCGGCAGTGCGCGTGTATGTGTAACAGTGTCGTCGATCAGCGTCGGGCTCTTCGCGTTTTGCAGCCGGCGGTGCTCATCACACTTTGAGGACTGACTCATCTAGACCCGGCTTTGGAAAGCAGGAGAACGGAGGAGGAGTGAGAGTGGAGGTAGTCGTGGGAAAGACGGATGGATGGGAAGACAGGGACTCAGTTTTATGCTTTTGAATGCTGTGGATTCCTCTAGACCATCTGAGGGTCTAGTCATTTGTGGGACGCCAGTAGCCCCAGTTATCTACCCCGCCACCGCTGCCGCCACCACCACTTCCCTTTCAAATTGGAATTGCAGACACACAGCCAGACAGGTTTCCCGAAAACTGCCAAAGACCACCACAGAAGAAAAACGAAATCTAACCCACCCCTAAACTACATCTGACTTGAAGGAACATTTTCACTTCGCACCTGCTCAACGGACTAGGACGAGAAGGTTTCGTGACTCTTTGTGATCTTTTTCCTCCTTGATATCATTGTTCTTTTTTTTGTGGAAGGTGGGCATAGTTGGGGGTTACAAGATCCTATTCCAGACCTCTGAGGGGTGGGGGGTGGGGGGCTAGAGCAATAAGAGGCTGGCAGACAAGACGGGACAGACGCAGGCATGGCTCGCCTCAACTGGTGCCTGGCTGCCGTCATCAGCTGGGGCAAGTTCCTCTTCGCCTGCTTCTTTCCTCTGCGGGGGGCCAAACGAAACAAGGTAAGGCTTCACACAGTGAGCGAGAGAGAGAGAGCGAGAAGGATGCTGGGAATGGGAGACTGAGGAGGAATTCAGTGGACTTAGAGGACAAATTCTGCACATGTAGTCTTTTGTGGCTTGCTTCGACCTTTCTTCTGCAAAGATTGGCAACAAGAGTGTGTCTGAAATCCTCACGCTGCATGAAATATTCACAAGAACAGGCCTTCCTAAGAATCGCCGCCCTCAGCTGTAGCATGCACACAGCTGGCTTTGGTTAAACCATCAAATGACGTAGCTGTGAAAATGAGCTTTTGATGACCGATCGTGGACCGCGGGCCTTGGAAGACCGGTTGGTGTGCCTCTCTCTAAGTGCTGTTTCAAGGTCAGTGTTACATCTCCAAGAGATCTCCAGGCAGGTGCTCCAGATAATAATGGTGGCGACAGAGATGGAATCACGGGCATCAGGTTGTGAATTTGCCTCTAGAACCAAGCACTTGGACCTCAGGGTTGATACGGGTCACCTTGCTTTTACAGCAGCAGAATGGTAATGCACCATTATTCAGTGGGGGTGAAAAAGCTCCTGATACACCCCCACCCCCAATTCATCTAATGCTATTGCATGCCATCCTGGAAAGGAGGTTGTACGCTTTCATCCATACGACACATTCCGATGGTCATGTGGAAGTTGGTGAATGAGATTGACCAAATGCACACTCAATTTTATAAGCTGTAACTTCCTTTAGGACATAATCAATCATGTGTAACAACTCTCACATGTTTAAATAGCACTGTTTCCTCATGTCCACAGCCGCACACATGCGAAGACACCACACAAAATGCTTGGGGTGATCTTTTTATTTAAGGTCATTTTCTTTCCCTGATACTTTTTTAAACTGCATAGCAGTTGTCCTAAGGCTAGAAACAAATCAGCGTAACACACCGCATCCTCAGCAGTAAAATTATATGTCTCCTAGCCAGAATGTTCCCATAAGGAGAAGACACCTTTTGGAATTTTCACATGCCCTCGCATCCTTCGTTTCAGTCATCGTCTTTAGCCGAACGTGCACTGTGAAAGCGTTTGATCACAGACACACATCTCAGTCAGAGGGTTTTGCAGCTCGAGCGCTGCAGTGCTGCGCTCCTGTGAGAACATTTAGAGCAGCAGTGGCGTTCCACAGTCTGGTGACGGTGGGGTTTTTTGGTCCTGGTGACACCGTAGATTGCTGCAGCCTCCCATCTCTTCAAGCCCCAACACGTTCCCACCAGCGCCAATACCAGCAACAACCCCCCACCCCCACACCTCACTGCCGCAGCTCCTTATCTCTACACCCGCGCTTACTCCCCCCACCAACCCCACCACCACCACCACCACCACCGTCGCACTCTCTTGTATGTGTGTGTAAATGTGTGTGAAGCTTGCTAGCGCTTCTACAATGAATCCCCCAATTCATGAGGTTTATTCAGACGCAGCTCAGTCCTGGCAGCACTGGCTGTGTCTTCATTGTAGAGTCAAAAACTGAATGTCTCTCAATCTCAGATCCACTCCATAAATACAATCTATACATCGGTGAATGAAGATTTTTTTTTTTTTTTGAATGACCCTAGCTTTTATTGGATGCAGTTCTTGTATCCGTACTGCAACAGGGGATAAATGCTTGTCATCAGGGATATGACTATGCATGCACTTTACATAATTAAACTATGTCATTCAAATCGTTTCAAGTAATTGAGCAATTAAGCAGAACTGTCTTCTGGACTCTGTAGCAGCGTCCTCTGTATAGACTTATTTCTAGAAACTTCTATCATTAATTGAAAAAGATGGGGAAGGTAGTTTTCACTTATTTTAAGAAAGCAGGCTCCACAGCAACCAAATACAGAAACAATTTAAAATATTGGGCTTTTTTGCATCCCTCATTGGTGAGCAGGTGTGACACAAGGAAGATGTAAGGAAGCTTTAAAGTCTCTGGGGTGGATTTGAATCATTCCTGCTGCAGCAGATATTTTGGGTACTACCTCTTCCTGCCCACCAACTAAGGACCATTATCTTAAAAAAATATGATTACATAATCAATGCATAAAAAATTACATAAATATTGTAGAACAGATATGAATTTAAGTCAGATATGACATGAAAGAAGGAGTTGGGTTGCAGAGTGGCTGGCAGAATCACAGCAACTGTAAGCAGGTGAAGCAGTGTGCCCTATGCCCCACTGGCAATAAGACAGCCAGTTGGGCATGCAGGAGGCTATAACCTAGGCTCACCTTGACATCTTGACAGGGCGTAACTTTGTTCAACATGTTTTACCCGGGAACACCTCCACCTTATCTGAACCTGCAGGCCATCTTGGACTTTTCTGAGCTGTGTTTGCATGTTCTCCTTCTTCCAGCTTGTGTTTCACACAGGTAATTTAGTCCAAGTGTGCTAAATTGGCTGTAGATGTGGATTCGGATTAGTCTTTCTTTTTTTGGTGACCTGTTCATCCAGTGTGAACTGGGCTAGGATCCAACTCCCTGCATCCCTGGTTGGATAAGCGGGTGGAAATCATATCACCAGTCTCTTAGTTATGTGTCCATTAGAGCTACAGTTTAACACCTTTAGCAACTTTTTGCACATAGAGCTTCTGTGATAGAGGTTTGTATTATCCCAGTGTTGTCTCATCCTCTGCAGTCAGCATTCACATTCAGTGAGTTGTTACTTCTGCTGCTGCCGCTCTGCCACTCCAGCTGCAGCACTAGAGCTGGTCATGTGACTGACTGGGAGGTGAAAGTGGAGAGGTATGGCTATGTGCGCCTTCCCCCCGAGGGCTGATGTGAGGTTTTCAGTTTCCATGGTAACCCGGCTCACACGGTCGCCGTGGATTGGGGCTGGGTTACTACAGGAGATGCAGCTGGGGATACTGCGGGTTTGTGCGTTTGTGACTGTGAACGTACAATGGAAGAAAGAGTCGGGAGAGTGAGGGAAGCTGTGCTGGTCGTATGTGTTACTATGTTTTGTGTTACGCTTCCTCTCATTCACACATATTGCCCTTTCTTTCTTTTTTCATTTAAATTGACTAAACCATGTCTCACTTTCCCAATACCCCGTTCTCTTTTCCTGTCTTCCTCCTTTTATTTTCTTTCTTTATGTCCTTCTCCAGTCTCCCATCTCCTTCCTCCTATTTCATCTAGCTATCTTTCTTTTTGCTGCCTCTTCCTTTCCTTCCGTATTCTAAGATTCATCCTTGCGTTTCCCATCCTTTCGTTTCCTTCCTGTTGATTCTTCTGTCATCTCCTTTTGTCCTCCTCTTCTCCGTCTTTTATTCTCGCCCCTGTTTACGCCTGTGTCCACTTGTATTTATCTCCTCCACCTTCTCCCCCTCCTGTCTTGTATATTTTGTTTACTTCCCTTCGAATATGTTTAACTCAAGTCAGCCTGAGCTGTAAATTCACATCAGTCAGTCAGCTCTCTGGGCTCTGCCTCAGTAGGATATGCACAAAAAACTAATTTATTGCTTGTTGCATTTATCACATGCTCCTAACTTCCACAGCAAACAAACAAAAAAAATGTTGGCCAGCCTTGGTGAACAGCACACAGGTACCGCACCCAGGGAATTGCAGGCTTTTGCCCTGAATGGCTCTCTGTATTCTGGGGCATTCAACGTGATGGATGCTTTGTTATTCTAGCATTAAAGCTTTAATGTGATGGATTCTCCAGCGACAGAAGAAGAGACTCCAGAGGAGTATGGAATTCATATCTTTGACTTTTCTCTCTCTCTCTCTTCTCTCCTTTCCCTTTTGAATTTTTTTGTCATTTGTTTGTTCACATTAGTGGAGCTAGTGATCAAATGTCACCATCATCAGTGAAAATACACATAAATCGGAGTTCCTACAACCTTTAAAAAGGTACAGTGGTACACTAATGCCTTTAGTGTAGTTTTTTTAAGGGGAATTTTACCGTCCCATGGCCTAAATCTGCTTTTCCATGGGTGCAATTCAGTGGGAAACAATGTGCGTGTGTGCATGCTTGTGTGCTGCCTGCCCGTCTGCCTGTTTCAAAGAGCTCCGGCATGTTGCAGTGGGAATAAGGGAATAAGAACCTGACCTAACTGTGCAAAAATGTTGTACTGAGAAAATCCAGCGCTCCCAGTAGCGGAGCCAAAATCAATGTGCTTCGCAGGTAGTAAAGTATCACTTAAATGGCTACTCTGGCTCCATCAGAGGAGAAAGGAACAACATGAGATGCATGTGTGAGCCCCAAAATTTAAGAAATGCTTTCTGGTGCTCTTATGAGTGTGTCTCAAGGTTGGTTGAAGGCCACTAGAGGCTGCTAGCAACCCAGTTTAGACCAGTCAGCTGGAGGGAAGTGGAAGTTGTCTTGTATCAAACGCAGACACTAAAATCAATTTTCAAAAAAGGAGTTCAGGACAGCCATAGAACACCCTGCAGTATTTCCCCCATGTGTCCTGTTTGCTGACATTATGTTAATAAAATACTTGCAAAGGCAGACCCACACATAAACCCACACACACAAGGATTATGTGTCAGGTTAGCCTATGGATTGAGGTAACTGTTACAGTGTAAGTGATGGAGAGCAGCACGGATCAATAGAGGGTGTTTTCTCAAAATGAATTGGCTCTTAGCCCTTTATGGATCTGACTGTGGAGTGATGTAATGCACCTCCACTGCTGATTTAATGTGGATCCAGTGCTGCGGTTTGCATACACATACATGTAGTAACCCCCTTGTCATGTGCTGTGCAATGTTTACATACATGCAGATAGAAATGTGTGGCATAAGTGGGGGCAGTTGGAATGGGAAGATGGAAAGCCTGCACAATTTGTTAGATATGTAGTATTTAAACAACCAAAGTACTTCCACCAAAATTTACTATTCAAATTTTGTGTTTATGGGGGGCAGCCAATCCGAGTAAAGTTGTGCTCAAAGGCGGGGTAAATGAAGCAACAAACATTAGTTTCAGATAGAAATTCATTGAGGGACCAGGGCCTAGCATGTTCGAAAAGTTTTCATAGGATGTACACTTC